AGTATAAGTGGGTTTTAGAAGGTTAACAGATTGAGTAGAAAATGTAGATTTCATTTTAAATTATGATCCGCGACAATCCCTATACTATATTTGTCAGCAATATCTTTCTTTATAGTAGCAATTCAACTTTTTTGTTCGATTGTTGCAAAAAATATGGATAATATATTCTACGTCGAAGAATTTTAATTTGATCGAAGAATTCTAATTTGGTCGAAGAATTTTAATTTGATTAAGTCACTCTGAATTCAAATAAATATATAAATTATTTTTAAAATAATAATATGAGCTTGGTTCATATTGATAAAATTAATTATCAGGAACCAGAAACTGAATAATTAGTAAAGGAATCAATTAAGAAATTCTAAAACTAACATGTTATACAGTCAGACCTCGTTATAGTCACTCTTGATATAGTCACAACCTTGTTATAGTCACACTTTTTTCTTAACCCTAAACATTATAAACCATATAAAATTTGACCTTTATAGTTACACTTTTTTATAATCACTAAATGTTTGTTTCCAAACCTGGTGATTATATCGAGGTCTGACTGTATTCCAATTTTATCTTAAAACTATACGATGAAAGGTCATTATAAATTAAACAAACTCATGAAAACTCGAGTGTGACATATACAAAATGATAAAAGCGAAATTACGAGACAATAAATTGCATCAAATAGAAAAGGTAAATATTTTAAAATTATTTTTTTTTTAAAAAATATATACTATAATTATCGATTTTGTAATTCGATAGATTTTGCATCTTTTCTAATGTTCGAATAAGATAGAAACTTTTTCTCTAACAATAAATCATTTTTACTGTTATTCTTTTAACGTTAGACGTGGATTCAATTTCTTTACATCAGTTGCATTTTAAAAACTAGTTTTACGACATAATCTTTTATTATCATTGTTGATAACTGATAATGGAAATCTCTCTTTCGTACATTAACATTAATGAATTTACATTCTATTGCTAAATAAAATTAATATACAAATTTGGTATCGTGCTTGAATTTGCTTGCACGACAAATACTGATACTTTATGTTTTTATTATATGTTTATTATAAAAAAAAACTGAATATTAATATGTGACACCAAGAGAAAATCAGAAATCGAGTTTGTAAATTTATAATTTAACGATTTAACGTCTTAATTATACGTTTTTCAAGGATTGAATCCGGTGTTTAACAAAGTTTGGTTTTTTTTTGATGTCACTCATGTATTAAAGAAAAGCTTCGAATTTACTAAAATATTCGTATGTACTATATAGTATGAAAACTTTTATTTACTACCAAAATTTTGCTCAATTTCGTACGTCTGTATACATTTGTACAAATGTACAGTACTATATACTTTACTAAATACCTGTTCTTTTGTGGCGTTGGCACAAATAAACAAATAAATTTGTCACAAGTACCAATAGGCTACGGAATTTTAACACATCGGCGGTCATTTTGGTGATAAATTATCCAAAACTGGCTGGTGAATTAAAAGTTATTCACAGCGCCATAGTACCCGGCGTAACAAATAATTTTTCAGGTGATGCGAAAATCAAGTGATTTTAAATTTTCACTAAGCAAAATTTTGCATCACTTGGTCCTATGGTCCGCGCTGTACGGTAAATATTGGATACATTTTTAATACGTACGTACGTACGTACGTACGTAATAGTTTCGCATGTCAGCCCATATCAATAGCTGTCGTGTGAACCATCACGATACGATAGCCACATTCTGCCGTATATACAGTTCGGCATGATCCATGTGATCGTCAAGTGTGACGAGAAATGTGTTTAATCTTGATCAATTTAAATCTGATGCTTCTCAAAATTTTCCGATAAAATCGAATAATGAGAATTTTTGCAATACCCGTACTAAGAAATCATTTCACTTATTTTTGTCATGGAAGACCTAAGAGAGGAACTTATTTATCAAAAATCACTGACTTTGCTGCTAAAAAATGGGATCAACTTTATCACGCTGAAAAGACCAGTTGGAAGGGAAAATTGTATATTACGGGCCAACAACTCTTAGATAGAATTGACCATCAAGAATATTTTTTAAAAAGTATACCGTTAAAAGAAGAGGTGGAAAAAAATTTTTCGTCAAAAGAGAATATGAATGTGAAAAATAATTTACAAATGAATGAAAAAGGGGGAAAATGTGCTACTGAAGAGGAAAAAAATAATGATGTATGTTCTTTAATGATTATTATTATTATTTATGCAATTCTGTTAATTTTCTTTTAATTGATATTGCAAATAGGTTCTATTATTATATCCATCAAAGGTTGTAAAGCTCGAGCAAGTCATGACGACCCTCGAACAATTGCTTGGACAACGATTACCATATCATCGCAAATATATGATATATTCTGCATTGTGCGTACCTCTAACCTCTACTTTTACATTAATACCAGTTGTACCGAATATACCTCTATTTTATAATTTATTTCGTTTATATAGTCATTATAAAGGTATAATCTTTTTTAAATTTCATTATTTATATCAAATCTTATTGACTTTTGTTAATGCTCAATTCATATTCTTCTTGGTTTTTTCTTTTGTCATTAAAGCATTTAAAGGTGCTCAACATCTTCAACTTATTATAAGTAATAAGCGACTAATACCTACCGATTCTAATGTATTAGATCAAATTTATGATGGTATAGATTTAAATAATTATGATATTCTTGACGAAAATCGGATTCATCAAATAGCCCATGAATTTAATGTTTTAACAATGGATACTGATGTAAAAAGAGCCAGACATCAAATATTGGAAAAAATAGAGTCTGAGTCTCAAGGAAAGTATGCTAAGGCTGACAATAGACATAATAATAATAACGATAATAATAATAATAATAATAATAATAATAATAATAATCAAAAGATAGAAAGACGATAGCATACTTTTTTTAAAAAAAGATTAAAGGACAATAAATATAAATTATTCCAAATATAACGATGAAACTTGCTAATATAATTTTGGTTATGTATTTGGTTTTCGTGACGGAAATTTATCTTAAAAATAATATTAAAACTTGTGTATATGTAATATATAAATGTAAATAAAGAAAAAAAATTTTTTGATTAGAAAAATTGTTGACTCATTATTTCGCTTTAAGAACTTACCCTTCAAAGCTGATTCCATTATAGGAATAACTATTTATTTTAATCAAGCTTCGCAATTCTTTTCTAAATGCATAACACGATATTACCTTAGGTATTTGTGAGAATTATTCTTTCGACAAAAAAGCGATAAAGTTCTATATATATGTTTTTAATTACATTAGTCACTTTAATTTGCTAATAATCATTCATTTTTTTTCTTTAGATGAATATGGTTTTTACACACTAAACACAGTAAATTAATGGGTTTTTCGGAAAACTATTTTAACCAAAGGCGAAGAGATCTAATTATATCTGTTTCAATTATTTATAATTTGTCGCAAGGTTTTATCAGTAGATTATTGCTCTGTTTCCGAATCGGAAAATATACTCAAAAAATTTTGGAGCATTTTGGATTTGCTCCAGAGAATCATCAGGAGATGGCGCCTTTTCAGTATTGGATTTCCGAATTTATGGAGGTTAGTCGGCGAAAAGCCTGTTAGTCCATTATTATAGGTTTAACTTTAATAAATAGATGTAATCCCATTAGTCTGTTAGTATCGGGTCTTCAACGCCTGCGGACGTATGAGAGCACTCTGGCTCTAGTCTCACAAATTTTGAAATTCATATACAGAAAATGGCTATTTATTTCACTAATTACTATTATCCCTTTCATATCCTCTTTTCTCTCTATTACTATCCATTTTATGCGCGATGATTATATCATTGTTCACACAAAGGTTATTTTATTAATCAGGATTTCTGTCTTCAGCAGATTTTTGGCACCATTCCAATGCCCTTTTTTCATTCTTGTTAACTACGATTACATTTTCGTAATGGCATATGCTTTCATTAGTATCATTCATTTCACTTGATTTCAAGTGACGTTCGAATACTTTATTCTCATTCTTATTGACTCCGATTCCATGTTAATAATAGTCTCCAGTTATATATATCCTTTAGGGTGTCCCATCTCTGCTGATTTTTGATAATTGTTAAATGCTTCACGTTCGTTCGTTTTATTTCTCTGGTTCGCTTACAATGCACCTAATATCTGCAACGTCGTCATGTTCTCATGTCGGGTAGGATCT